GTTCATACAAAATCTATGTATTCCATAATCGTATCCATAGGAATAGTGCGAGAAAATATCTTTAATGTTTTTTAAATGCATTGGATAAAATGATATGTTTTCAAAATAGTGCATGAAACCCCATATTCTCACTTTGGTCTCTGATTGCCATATGCCTTCCATAATAGGTAGGTGCCAGGAAGGTGGTTCCATTTGACCAGGTGTGCTCTCCAGGAGGGGATGGTCATGCTGCAGAGCCAATGGATGTCCTCTATTGCTGGAGGCTTTCAACACTATTGACTTCTTCTTATTCTTTATTAATTTATGGGTATTCTATTCAAATTCCCAGTGGAGGGGAGATGGAATTAAGATACCGATAATGGCTAGACAGTAGTATTCAGACTGTATTTATACATGTATCTAAATATATTCATATATTTAAATGTACATATTTAAATACCAATATGCAGTAATCCTAAGTATATATAATTAGACAGCTTCAGAATTAAAATGCATTTAGTTTAAAACTTAAAGATTTCAAAGTTCTAAACCAAATACAAACACAATAAATTCTTAAGCAGTAATGCCAGGTTCTAAGTGCTTATCTTTGTCATTGCTGTTATTCAATTAGGTGGATATTAGAAAACATTCACGATGTTTCACTTTTATCTCTTATCATCCCCACTGTAACCAGAATCCGAAGCTACACTTTCCCAACATGAACCTAGTAAAAGCTCAGCAGAAATTCAGAAGAAATACAGAAACTGTTGATGAAGGATAGAAATCTCCGCGTAGAAGGGCAGACACGTCCTGAAGGAGCGCAGCTGTGAAGGTGACTGCAGCTGGCTCTCGGGCTGCCGGATTTGGAACTTTGGGAAGGAGCAGGAGTCACAGAGACAGTACCCAGGAAGGATGCTCAACCACTACGGGCCTGCCCAGGTCAGATGGAAAAAGGTCCCTTGAAGGAAACAAGATGGAGAAGAAAAGGACGGAAAAGAGAAAGGATGCGGATGTGTGCTGTTGAGAGATCTATCCGGAGGGAAAACCCAGTTTTAACAGCTTTCCGGCCTGGGAGGAATTGTTACAAAAGGACTTCACTTGCTTACCAAAAATAACAACTTCTCACTCTTTCCAGATTTAAGAAAGCAAACAGCAGAGACATTTAGAAGTTTTCTTTGTGTGCATTTGACTTATGATTATGGTTACGAAGATAATCTTTAAAAAAACATAATGGGATTTCCTTTAAAGAATATATTCAGAGATGGGATAGGACAGTAGTTGGGAGCACTGGAGCCGATTTCTGGGCTGGGTTTCCATTTCTGGCTATGTAACCTCAGGCAAGTTATTGATCCTCTTGTGTCTCAGTTTTCTAATGTGTTAAATGGAAATATTAACAGTGTGTGCTTCCTAGCACAACAGTGAGAGTCAAATTAGTTAGCAGACATAGTGAGTGATATCTAAGTGTTGACTTCTATTATTAAATTATTTACCAAATATTAATCCCTCCTGCTAACATAAAACACGATCCGTAGGAAAGATATTGGAATTAGGTATGGCAACAAGATGAATAAACTACATTTCCTTTCCTCAAAGAATAACACAGGGAAGCAGGGCAGACAGAATCAACAAAAACCTACAATGGAGAAACTGAAAAGGAGGCAGGCAAGCGTCAGCGCTAGCTCTGAACTCCAGGACGTTCTGTGAATTTGAGGCTCTGCTCACACTAGCTCTCAGCATGTCTGATGTGAGAAACATCCTGGAGACACGGGCTCTTTTTATTTTTTATTTTCTTTTTGAGACAGAATCTTGCTCTGTCGCCCACGCTGGAGTACAGTGGCACGATCTCAGCTCACTGCAACTTCTGCCTCCCGGTTTGAAGCAATTCTTGTGCCTCAGCCTCAGAGTAGCTGGGATTACAAGAGTGCACCACCACTCCTGGCTAAATTTTGTATTTTTAGTAGAGACAGGGTTTCACCATATTGGCCAGGCCAGTCTCAAACTCCTGGCCTGGAGTGATCTGCCCACCTCAGTCTCCCAAAGTGCTGGGATTACACGCATAAGCCACCACACCTGCTGACACAGGCTCTTTTTAAAGTGCAAAGTGTTCTATAAATATGAGTTAATGCCAATTCACAAAAGCAAGCACTGTAAGGATAGGCCAGTGAGAGAGGCTGTTTAAAAAATGCCAATCACCAGGTATGAGCTCCTGCTAAGAGGCTGCCACACATTCCAGCAAATTCTTCTAAACTCTAATGAAAGCCTGCTTTTCCCTGCTCAGTATTCAATGAAGATAAACCTTTGAATAAAAGTCTTCGTAATGGAAAACTCATCTTCATCTTGTCAATTCCAGAGCCTCGCATTTTCTCTAGGCTTTATCTAGGCAGCGTGGAGGGGCTGGTGCGCCACTGCATGAAGGAGAAGGGTTCCCAGATCGGCATCCAGGGTTTAAATTACTACCTGAAGGCCCATGTCTCTGTGTTTAGATGAGCGCAGGCTTCTTCTGGATGCACAGAGCCACAGCCTAGCTAACATCTCCATGTGACTATCACAAGGGTCTCTCACAAGGGTTCCAACATAGAACACTTCTCCATTTTTCTGTTTCTCCATGAGCGGCACAACCCACTGCAAAGCCCCAGATTCGCTGCTTCGCCCTCCCTCACCTTCTACCACCTTGCTCCTTCTCAGGCCTCCTCCATTTTCTTTCCAAAGTTCTTCCAAATCCATCTGCCTCTCTTTTTCAAATTCTACCCTTCCATTCCTAGCAGCCTATATCTATTTCTTGGACTTCTACAACTGTCCCCAAACTTTTCTCCTTATTCTCACTCTTGTCTCTCTCTAATTTAAGTTCAACATTGTTCCAGAATGAAAAGTTCAAATTCCCCTGCTTATCAATGGTTTAATAGGAATCATTATTAGGAAAACAATAGTGATGAAACAGCTACTGCGTATTCAGCACTTAGCCAGGCACTGTGCTAGGCACTTTATCTGTCTCACCTCATTTAATCCTTCCACTGATCCCAGAACATAGACACAATCATCACCCCATTTTACAGATTAAAATCACCAAGATGCAGGGAGGTATAAAACCACATGCCCATGGGAAAAAGCTGGTAAGTAAATAGTGGAGCTGGCCTTCAAACCTCCCCCTCCGACTCCCTCCCTCTAGGATGAAGATGAAAGGCCTCGCGGGGCTCACCCAGCCCTGCAAGCCTTGCCCTGCCTGCTTCCACCTGCTATCACCATGATTCTTCTCATCCTCTTAGCTTAGTCATGCCCTCAGCTGCGCCATCTCCTCCCTCTCCTCTCTTGGGGTCTTTATACATGGGAGTCTCTCCTGGCTCTCCAAGCCCAGGCACATCCCTTCCGTGCATCTTCAAGGCACCTATTCCTGCATGTGACGACATACTTACCTGTATGTGCACTATTGGAGGGGCCATCTCAGCCTTCCTTAGCATGATATCCTAGCTCCTAGCACAGTGCCTGGTATACATGAAGTGCTCAGCAAAACATTAACAACTAGGAAATTGTAGTATGAGTGCAAGCAAAATTCCTAGCTTTTAGTTCAAGGGCCATTGTTTATTACTAGTGTGATTTTGTGCCAATTACCCCCATCCGAACTTCCAGAGGCCTGATTGTAACTTTCAGGTAACAATCCCAGCAATAATAAGAAAGCATGTTGGAGTTCTTAAAAGCACTTGCACAAAGATTCCATTCGGTCCCAGAATGACCCTGAAGGCTGCCCTGGACTAAACACTAAACGGCAAGGCCTTCGGTCAGAGTTAAGTGACAACTGACTAATCGAGGGTGTGACAGAGCTTTAAGAACTGCAAAGTGCTCTATGTGAGCGAAGACTGGTGCTGCTTGCTCAGTCATCAGCCTTCAGCAATGTTTCCAAGGTTTCACATTTGTTTAAGAGAGCTGAGCCTGCACTGCAAAATAAGGAGAGGGTGAAGAGCAGGGCTTGCCAAACACATTTAACTCATCGCCAGCACACAGTGAGAGAGTGGGACGGCCGGGTAGGCCAAGGCATCTCACCCCGGCCCCGACCCTGGCCCCTGCTCTGCCCAAGTGAGCAGGAAGACAAGAACCCGCCCTTCTTTAGTTGATGTTCACTTCTCTGAAATATTCGATTATGAGGTACTGCCCATCACAGGGGCAGCTCCTGGAGAGCCCAAACCCTTAGGTTATCTGGGAAGCCAGTGGCCTCTTACTAACATCCTCCTGTACCACCGCCCACCTCCTGTCTCTCAGCCTTAGGCAGTCTAAGGTAATCGTGAACAGAGATGCATCCTTAGGCACTCAGGCTCTATACCTAATCTGTGCAGATGTGACTCTATGGAGCTTTCAATGTTACTTCTGTGGATCAGAAGCTTACATGCTGGTTCTAAAAAACAATCTAATGTCATGTTATTCTCACAAAATTAACAATTTAAAATAATCCCTTCCATAACATCCCTGAAAGCAGAAATGGGAACAAGCCTTCCTCAAATTACAAAACAATCTCGTGAACACCAGCTTAAGGGCTGTGATTATCTGCCTGCTTCTTCAGGTAAAACTATGCCAGCAGTAAAGCTGCTTTTTAACATAAAAGTAGCCCTAACAATGTGGTTATTCAGGTGAGCTGAATTTTCTAAGACATTGAGAAGTTGATTTAAAAACAGAAGTAGATGAACTTTATGTTGAATTTTTCAATGTAAACTCGTATCAAAAACGAAACAAAATAGAACTCTTAAGTAAACTGTCACCATGAGAAAGAGATTTTATTTTATCATAGCTATTCATTTTCAATGTATAAATAAAGTCACAGAAAGTCCTAGATTATGTCTAATATTCAAATAATTTTCAAGCTATGCTAGCTTAGAGCTAAAAAGGGGGACTACCTTCTATGTTTCATAAATCAAACAAAACAGGAAGTTCTCTGGCGTCGAGTTTTGCAGAAACAAAGTATAAGGCTGATCAAATTCGCTTATAATTGAAAAAGAAAAACAAAAGTGCTTTCTGGAGTAATAAATAGTAACTACCTTCTGGACACTGGCAGGTGAATCCACTGAGACTGGAAAGGCACGTTGCTCCATTTCTGCATGGGTCTAGGAGGCAGTAATCAATCTTGGACTGGCAAAGCTCTCCGGTATAACCTGAGTAAAACAAAACGTACATTTTATAAAATAAGCTATTCCAGACCTACCATGAGCCACTCTAGGAATTGACGGATTCAACTGGTACCTGCCCAGTGAAGGCAGCGGCAGCCTTCAGCTAAGCTGCTCCTAGATCTCTTTTTACAAACGATGGTAGTTTAGAAATAATCATAGCAGTTTAGAATCATCGTTCAAAAATCATTTACTCTGCAAAAATCCCTATTGAAAGGAGACCACATGTCTTCAGTATTAGGTCTGTGTTTCATCTTGAAATACCAGTCAGAACCTTCAGAAGCGGAGACTGAATGTCGCGTTGATAGCTTCCTTCTGACACAGGAATTTACGGTGTTCAGCTTGATCTGACTGAGATAATGCCACATTCCCTAGGCCATCACAATGCCTACATAAAAAGCATCAGGAAAATGTCTAGGTATTAGCAGTTTTAATGTATAATATTTTGGAGCTAGAATAACCCACCTGTGTTAATTCTGTACCCTCTCCCCCCACTTTCAAGATAAAGAGATTGAGGCACACAGAACACTAAGCACATTAATATATTTTATTAATACTTATTTAATTCACAAATCCAACTAAATTCTCTGTGAAACAAGGCTCTCATGGTGATTTTGTTGGATTGTAAAATAACTACATGCATGTGGTGAGGAAATAAGGACGTAAATCTATTGGAACACCCGTGCAGTCAAAAAGCTTTAAATACATTCCAGAATTTTGTTTATTAATTTTAAAAACAAATCCCCTGGAGAGAAAAGTTTAAAAACTAAAATGCTAATAAATTTCTCATCATAAAGCGGAACACGGTAAAGAAAGCTTGGAAAATTTAAGACATTAAACAGAAAAAGAAAAAAAATGTGCCCTTGGTTGTTATTTGAGTGACAGGACCATCAGTACTGTAGAGATAACTCCTATGAAAAATTTTTAGTCATAGATATTTTCCACACAATCATGATCATACTGTAACACTTTATTTATTTCTAGGATAGTTTCAACTACATAAAAACTTGTCTTTCTGAATTATTAGTTTTGAAAGACTGCCATTAGCACTTGAATCTGAGATTTACAAAAAAAAAAGATCCAGTGATATTAGAAAAGAGATGATTCACCTGACCTTCAATTACCTGCCGAATAGATTGTAAATTACAGACTGGGAATGGGGAGGCATTCATTTGCAATCCTACTCACAGGCACTCAAGCAGTGTAGGAGATTCTAGCTAATTCATGGTATGAGAAGACGAGTAAGACAAGCGCATGAACTAAAAATCCAAACACCAGGAAAAAAGGCTATTTCAAAATTCCAGAACAGATTAAATAAAAGCTGTAAATTCAAAATAAGGGAGAGTGAATTGTTTCTAAGAGGAATGCTGCCAATAACTTTTTGGCTAAAAATAATAGCCAAAACTTACAAAAGATCACTTATTTTTATTCATACATTAATTAATATTAATAATGTATCCACAAATTAATACATAACTCATCCATACTTGTGCAACCTTATGAGGTTAGTGTTATTAGAATCACCTTGGTTTTTTTTACTTCAGCTTTTATTTTAAGTTCCAGGGTACCTGTGCAGGATGCGCAGGTTTGTTACATAGGTAAACGTGTGCCATGGTGGTTTGCTGCACAGATCAACCCATTGCCTAGGAATTAAGCCCAGCATTCCTTAGCTGTTCTTCCTGATGCTTTCCTTCCTCAAACCGCCACTCCCAACAGGCCCCAGTATGTGTTGTTCTCCTCCATGTGTCCATGTGTTCTCATCATTCAGCTCCCACTTAAAAGTGAGAACACGTGGTGTTTGGTTTTCTGTTCCTGTGTCAGTTGAGGATAATGGTTTCCAGCTCCGTCCATGTCCCTACAAAGGACATGATTGCATTTCTTTTTATGGCTGCACAGTATTCAGTGGAGAATCACCCCATTTAACAAATGAGGAAATCGAGGATTACGAAGGTTAAGTAATTTGCACACAGTCATAGAGGGAGTCAGGGTCCTGTGTCCAAGCCCTTTCACACAGTATACCTAAGGTTACGCTTAAGGCACTATGCATCACCATCGTCAACAAACAGGTATTTAGTATGAAGGTAAAATAACAGAAAATAATGGCTAAGAAAACGCACAGAAAGAGACACAGAGCTTGATACAAAAATGATCAATATTCAGCTCAGGTGTGGTAGCTCATGCCTGTAATTCCAGCACTTTGGGAATTTGAAACAGGCAGATTACTTGAGGCCAGGAGTTCAAGACCAGCCTGGCCAGCATGGCAAAACCCTGTCTCTACCAAAAATACAAAAACTAGCCAGGTATGGTGGTACATGCATGAAATCCCAGCTATGGGGGACGCTGAGGCACGAGAGTCATTTGAACCCAGGAGGCAGAGGTAACAGTGAGCCGAGACTGTGCCACTGCACTCCAGCCTGGGCAACGGAGAGAGACTTCATCTCAAAAAAAAAAAAAAAAAAAAAGTAAAATAATAAAATCCACAAATATAAATATTCATCTATAACTTATAGCCTATGTGTGGTTGGTTATGCTTAGGCTGGAGATGCCAAGAATTATTTTTTCAAATCCCTGGCTTCAAAGATTCTACAAAATGGCTAGAAAAGTAGAGTACATTTATGAAAAAAGATAACCGATTACAAGTGGTAGCTTCTTAGAGGCAGGATGGCCTAAAGGATGTAGATGGCATCATGAATTCTATCCCTGGAAAGATGTCAGAATTGTGACTACAGGATCACACAAAACCACGACGCACAGCCAGCAGCCGGTTCGGTCTCAGATGTGAGAGATGTACATCTCCACAAGACAGAAAAAATAGAAGAGTGCAGGACTCTGAACTTCAAAGTTCTTTCAATAAAATTTTAACAATCACTTCCTTTTTACTTTTTATCTAAGGATTTAAAACATACTTAAACATAGAGAGACAAGGTTATAAACCTCACATATCCATCACCCAGCTCCAACCATTATTAGCATTTTGTCTGTTTAATTTCATCTAATCTCCTCATATTTTCCTAGGTTCCCCAGGAGGGTATTTAAAATCAAATTTCATTTCACCTGTAAATATTTCAGTATGCATTTCTAGCAAAAGGAGCGTTTTTTAAAGATCACTTTTAAGGGTGTCTTTAATTAATATTTCATTCCATTTACAAATTTAATTAAACACTTTAAAACATATTTATATATATATAATAATATCAACAATTTCCTTAAGAACCACAACTGTCTGATAATGTACAAATCTTTCCATGCACTTAATTCTTATAGATCTCTTAAATTATAAGTGAGGTGAATCTTAAATGCCGTTAAGTGCCCCAATACTGTATGCAAGTTTGGTGAGATTTCAATCAAAGAGGCTAATTTACATTTTTAATTGTCATAAGAGCTTCGGGACCTCACTGGCATTTTTTAGGTAAAGATACTGAGATCTTGCAGGACTTGAGAGGGTCTAATATATTAACAGAGTTGTCACATTCAAAATGCCAATAGTTCCCTCCAATGAGAAACAGTGGTCCATATTCAACATTTTGTCATTGTTTTTTTTCCCTGAGCTTCAAAGTCTTTATATTAAAGATTTTGAAAACACAGGAAACATGGAACTATGGAGAAAAAGATTATGTGCAATGCTCTAGACCCATAAAGTATGAGCATATTGACATGTCTATGGGTTCAGTATTACTGAAGACGAAGAACACTAATGGAGGAGCATGGGTTGGGGAGTGGGAGGAAGCAGGGAGGCAGGGCTGAGATCACGGGATTACAGGACCACTGAGCATCCTCACCTGCAGGTGGCCAGTGCTACTGGCAATAACCAGCTATGGATCTGTAAAGCTGATGAGGGTAGCATGATGCTCTACCCACCCCAGTCTGTCTGGAAAGGGAGGGGCCCTTTGGCAGGACAGTTACTCAGTGCAGTGTTTCCCCAAGTAGATGTACGGACCATGATGGCAGGAGCTCAAGACCTAACAATCGTCCACACGAGACTCACCAAGAGGACCAGGCATTATTCTTGGCCTCCAGGGAGTTACTAGTTGGTAGTCCCAAGACTACCATCATCAACTGTATTACTCCCATTACAGTTGCATTACTAGGCAAGTGAAGACAGTTCTGGGAGACAAGAGGCAGAGGACAAGGAGCCAGAAGCATAACTCTCAAATACCAGCAAGTCACTCCTCAGATCCTCAGAGAGCAGAGGCTTCACTGAAGGTGTTGGACAAATCACTGGTATTAATATACATGTAATACTCTGAACTGGATACCTAAGAGCTACACAAATCACCCTTCCTGTGTCCTTTGGTTTTTTATTTGATCTCATAATCAAGGAGTCAAAACTAAATGAGTGATTGGTAGAAATCTAAATGAAAAATACCATTAAAGTTTTGCCTGGGTTTTCTTTCTTCCATCCTGCTAAAAGTCAATGTGTTCTCTGGGGACTAAAGTAACCATGCCAACTGTGAATAATATTTCCTTATGCCACTAAAGCAATGACAGCCACCCAGAGGACCTTGTAGAAGATATGCAAGCAAGATCGATGGTATTGATGCCGCAGACATGAAAGGTAATACACAGTGGCCATTCGGTGTGTGTAACGGAAGAATTTGCTCTAGCATGCACACACAACAGGCATTTCAGCCCTGGAAACCTATGCCAGAGCTCCCAAGTGGAAGGTGGGCAAGACATGGAGAAAAACCCATGTAAAGGCACAAAAGAGTGCAGAAAAGGTGTGAATGTCATTGACACTTGACTAAAAATGCACGATAATGATAAACTCCCTCGTTTTGATTTCCAAATGACAAAAGTCTATACCTAACTATGGAGGCAAGTATCAGCAATTGTTTTTCTTTCCTCTAGCTAGTGGTACTCCCTCTAAGCCCCCGTGGCCAGACCACAAGCATTCATGAACCACCTGCCAAGTTATTGTCACAACCACATAATACCTTTCACATTGTCTAGTCCCATTTAAACCTCACCACTTCTCACCAGGACTCCAG